CCCATGAGCGAGCCTTCCCTGATGATAGTACCAAAAAAGGGTGACCTGAAATTATGTACAAACTATCGAACTATTGCCCTGATCAGTCATGCAAGTAAAATTCTACTAAAAATTATAATGAGAAGACTGCAAAAGAAAATGGAAGAAGAGATTAATGTAGCTCAGGCTGGATTTAGACAGGGAAGAGGAACAAGAGATCATATATTCAACATGCGTTTAATAATAGAGAAGTGTAGAGACTAGAGAATTTAATGTAAATCTGTTCTTATGTTTTGTGGATTATTCAAAAGCATTTGACTGTGTACAACATCAGAAGCTTTGGGAAATCATGAGGAATATGGGCTTTCCATCACATATAGTGCAGCTCATTAATATGCTCTATCAAGACCAACAAGCAGCAGTCAGAATAGATGGAGAGACATCAGACTGGTTTGGCATCAAGCAAGGAGTCCGTCAGGGATGTGTGCTGTCACTGAATTTGTTCAACCTGTACGCAGAAAATATAATGAGAAATGTAAGAGATGATATAAACAAGGAACAATATTATGCCCTAAACATCGGTGGTCATGAAATACCAGAAATTTGTTATGCTGATGATACAGTATTACTATCAACATCACAAAATGGTTTAGAAAACTTATTAACCTCACTCCAAAGAAATAGTGAAAATCATAACTTATTTCTTAACACAACAAAAACAAAGATAATGCATACAAACAAAACTGCCATGGAGAAGGAAATATATGTTAATGAGGAAAGATTGGAAGTGGTGGAAAATTTCGAATATCTTGGGTCACTGGTTACCAACAATGGTGACACAATGAAAGAAATTAAACGGCGACTATCAATTGCTCTTCAGAGACTAAAACAACTGAATAAATTATGGAATTGTACAGATAGAATTACAAAGGTCAGATTTTTAAGAGCATGCATCTTTCCCATTGCAACATAGGCCTGTGAGACCTGGACACTTATTAAACAAGCGGAACAGCGCATAAATGCATTTGAATATAAATGTTACAGACAGGTTCTAAGAATATCTTGGGTAAAGAAAAGAACAAATGCATCCATACTTCAAGAGCTGAATACTGAAGAGGGTTGGCTAGTAAAGACAATAAAACAAAGAAAATTGAAATATTTTGGTCACTTGAAACGTCATGGAGGTCTAGAGAGAACAATAATGGAGGGGTATATGCCTGGGAAGAGAGGAAGAGGAAGGCCAAGGAGAAGATGGGTGCAGGATGTGGCAGATGATCTCCAGATGGGTGTATCAGACGCAGGACATCTTGCTCATGATAGGAAGGTTTTCCGGAGGGTTGTTATGGCAGCGAGGTTCCACGAGGGACATGCTACTGAATGAATGAATGAATGAATGAATGAATGTCAGATTATCTACCTGGTCCCTAGAGTTCAGTTTGCGTGCTTTGCTGTTTTATTAAGTTTTATTTTATTTAAATTATCAACAAGTATAACATAACTTTTTAATGAAAAAAAAAAAGAAAAATGTAAACCAAACCAGTGAATATGAGACACTCACATAACATGATAGAATTAATCTCATCATTGTGGCATGACCACTGTTTTGAGCCGTGGTAGATATTTTGCTTCTGCCAGACGGTGGCCGTTGCATTTTTGCTCCATTTGTAGACTAAAAAAGGATATAGTTTCGTCTCCCAGCTTCTGAGTTGAGTGCATGGCGTGACACTGTGATCTGCGGATTTCATTTGAAATGTTTTTTTACTGTGACCAACGTGGTGGTGTAAATTGTAGATTCAGAAAATGGCACGATGCCTGATGTCACAATATTGGTGGTGCCCGTATGTGATTAAAATTGATCGCATGTGCAGCTGCTGATCTGTTGGTGACTTCTGCTACCATCCATATTTAACTGCATTTCTAATGTCAGACTGTTTGTTTTAGCACTTCGGTTGGCTACTGTATGCTTTTATTGCGTGTGTATGCTAGTGCATATGCTGAGACAGCAGTCTTGTCAATCTTTCCACAAGGGACTGTGATAAACATTCTGTGTGTTTTTCGTTGGCACAGGAGCGGAGCAACTATGGGGTGACCCGTTTGCTGTGAAGCTGAAACTAAGATTACCAGATTACTAGATCTCATGATTGTATTTTTCTCTGAATTTAACTAATTCAGCAATGTAACTCTTCAAAAATATTTTTAAATTATGCTGGAAAGAGAGCATACTTTTACTGTTAAAGTTGTTTAAATTGCTTTTAGAGCTGTTTTGTTGCTGAAAGGAATTTATTGTGAAGATGATGTCAGGTAAAAAATAAATAAATAATGTAAATTAAACGGATCAAGCAAAATCCGTTAAGAGTTATGAATTAATATTTGGAATCTAAAAAATATAACCCAAACGGAATAATATATAGATCTAAAAAATATTCTTCTTGAGACATATTAGAAGCAGTTTACTAATAATATTGATTATGTGTGTTTTTATTACTGAGGGTTACAATTCATGAATCAAACTTGGTGAAGAGCATACTTTGGATATTTTCTTCACTCCATGATGGGTCATGAACAGGCAGACAGACTGGCTGGATCTGCTCCACTGGGTGGTGAATTGATACATCACAAGGCAGATATGGTTAAGGCCCTTTGGGAACAAGCAACGGAATCAGTAGAGATAGAAGATTATTATGGTCTGGAGAGAATGAGACCTCTGGGTGTAACCAGAGGGACTGGCCCGCTGACTACACTCAGAGGCGAGGCAAGACGAACATAAAACCAGATTGTGACCGGTACCATCAGTATTGGAACTCTGCACTGGCTGCTGAAGATGAGGACTGAGCATGCATGGGAATGCCCTGAGTGCTGTGATGTCAATTCTTGTCAACTCAACTGTGCTGAAGTGACACAAATCTGAATATTTCCCATTATAATATCATAATGAGGATAGGAATGCTCATGAAGAACAAAGCCCAGAAGAGAATAGTGAAATGTAAAAATAATAATTTGAATATGTACTGGATTTATGGGGAAAAATAGTTTTTACTTTTTATACCAGATTCATTTTTCCTGGCACTAGGAAATCTGTGAATATCAAAGAAAGAAAGAAAAAAAACTAGTGATAAACTTAATGTAAAATCAGTACTGCTGTGTGCAGCGGAAACATGGGAAAATACTAAAACAGTTACCAATAAACTCCAGACATTTTTTAACCAGTGCCTATGCGTAATAGAAGGAATAGAATCACTAATGTGGAGCTTCAGGAGAAAACTAAACAAGTTCAAGTAAATCAGGAATGAAGAAGCAAAGACACTGATTTTGGATATAACACGTGGAAAAAACCAGCGAGGGGACCGGGGGGAGGGGAAAAAAGAGAAGAGATACCAGACAGTGACAGCTTGCCCACACATTGTTTGGCATTGCCTCGTCACATGCTGTTCTAAACTCTGTCATGAAATTATTCTTTGTTTTCACTGGTTGTAATCTCCGGCAGAAACTTCTGGTTGTTCAACCACTTCTGGAATCTTATTGCAGAATTGAGTGTTGAGTGCACATCCATTTTACAGATCTGGCTTATTTATATTCAGACTGTTGGTTCCTCATCCCTCAGGCAGATGCACTCCGACTTTGAAGGAAACCCCTAATTAGTTGACTATCCTGCCTGTTAGGATGGTAGTGGGTCTAATCATGTTTTCCCATAATAGGGCCCTAAAACCCATTCAGTAATAAATGGCCTGACCAGAAAAGTTAAATTAATTTTAATGATATAATGAATTAGAACAGCTTTCATGAACAGGAGTTTATACTTCCACTCTTAAATCTTTTAGCACCAATCAAATCGCAGTGCATTTATTTCTCAAACTGCTGTCTTCAGTTCTTCTGTAACGCTAATTCATTCTACTCTAATAAATGTAGTTTTAACTCTTCTGTCTTATAGCGATATTAACTAATCTCATAAGACCCTAAAACTGTGCTGAGTTGGTATAAATAATGGAGGATTTTAAAACACTTACCACTTCTTAGAAACGGCGGATCATAATGGGTTTCAAGACACTTACCACTTCTTAGAAATGAGGGACCATAATGGAGAATTTAAAAACACTTACTACTTCTTAGAAATGATGGACCACAATTGAGGATTTAAAAACACTTCTTAGAAATGATGGACCATAATGGAGGATTTAAAAACATTTACCACTTCTTAGAAATGATGGACCACAATGGAGGAATGATGGACCATAATAGAGGATTTTAAAAACTTTTTAGAAAGGATGGACTATAATAGGGGATTTAAAAACACTTACCACTTCTTGGAAATGATGGACCATAATGGAGGATTTAAAAACACTTACCTTTTCTTAAAAATGATGAACCATAATGGAGGATTTAAAAAAACACACCAGTTTTACATAAGATGTCAAAGAAATAAACATGTGTATTCACAGCTTTTTTCTGATGGTATGCAGTGGTACGTAGTACTGGTACCTTTTCAAAGGCATCCTTTTTTGTCCAGCACTACTGTAATTTACACTATTTTTTATTGTACACCTTGTGAGTATCTGCACCTTTTGTTCAAGGAATGTGTATTATAATTTTGCAGTTCTGGTTCATGCACCATAAGAGGGAAATTGAACAGAAATGACTGCTGAGCTACTAAATAGCCTCTCTTGGCTGGGAAAGATATGAATACATGTAATGACTTGTAGGATGCTAGAAATGAAAGTTTTAGAAAGACATTGACCTCTTATGTGCCAATTTCTAAGTATTATTAAATGAGGTGTCATATTTTATTATGACATTGTTCTCTATTAAGAAAAATGATACAAATTGTCCTGTATATTATTCAGAAGCTTTTTAAGCAACCCCCCCCCCCCCCCCTCTCTCTCTCTCTCTCTCTTTTTCGCTCTCTCTTTCTCTCTCTCTCTCTCTCGCTCCCCTCTCTCTCTCTCACACACACACGTGCACACACACACACACACTTATAAATGTTTTTTTTAATTGTCTGCAGTTTGTTATCTTTGACAGTTACCATGGCAGATAGTGGGAAAGCTATATCACCGGGATCAGAAGTAAAGAAAGCCCAGGAAGGAAGTGGTAAAAAAAGGCGCAAGCACAAGAAGAAAGCAGAAGCATCAGGGGACGGTGCTCCTTCGGCAGCACCAGTGTCTCAGTCAACAAGTCAAAGCTCTGCGGCTGCAAGTCAGGCAGAAGGAGCCCCAGCTGCAGTCAATGGTGACAGCAAACAGGAGAGTAACCCACCGGAAAAACGTGTAGCCAGAGGGGAAGAGCAAGAGTTAAAAGACAGCAAAGCAGTGGGAAAAGTTTCAAGAAACAAGACTGGAACACATGAAGCAGGAGGAGAAGAAATATCAAGTCATGGAGACAGTAGTGCAGATGGGAAAACACATGAAAAACACTTATCAAAGAAAGAAAATAAAGCTAATCAACTGCAGAAGCTGAAATCTCCAAAGCAAGAATCTGAAACCGGCAAATCTTCGACACCAACTACAGATGAAAGCAAGCTAAGAAAAGATACACCCAGAACAGAAACACCTAAACATACAGAGCAGGGAGAGAAAAACAGGGAAATACCAGAAGCAAAAATACAAATGCAGTCTGGCAAAGTAAAGCAGAGCAACGAAACACCTAAATGTGACGGAGTACAACAGAAAAGTATGGCATTTTAACACCCATATTTTATTTGTATGAAATATTTGTGAGCTTCATGTTATAGTTTGTGCTCTATGTATCAGTAATAAATCAGCCAGCAGCTAGAGCATACCACATGAGAACAGCTGGCTGCAAGGCAAGAGGCTGACCAAGAAAGAGATGGATGGGTGGAGTTAAAGAGACATTACAAAAACGCAGTATGACATTAACACAAGCTACACAACTAGCAAACAACAGAAAACTACATCTAACTTTTTGGCATTGTAGACAGTATTCATTAATAGAAAACAAACGTTCAGCATAACAAGATCAGTATCAATGTGTTACTCAATATTTAAACTGCAGTCATTGTTAAATGTGTGTGTTGGTGTATATTTTTTGTGAAGTGCTGAGTGGGTTAGGATATATCTGTTGTGAAATGCTGAGTGGGTTGGGTATATTTGTTGGGAAATGCTGAGTGGGTTCGGGTATATATGTGAGAAATGATGAGTGGCCCAGTGTTTGCCTCAGATTCAGAAGTTACAAGATTAATTTAGATCGACGTTAGTCTCCCCAAACAAAGTAGGTCAGTTTTCATTGATAATTTTGTTGGGCTGGTCGACTTTCCTAGAAGTTACGAGTGTGTCCCACTCTCTTGTTTGGTTTCCTAGGCTGAAGGTCGACCAATCAGAAATGAGCTAGTGTGTAAGGGTGTGTAAATGGGGAGACTAACGTCGAACTAACCCAAGATTATATCATCATCGTCATCTTCATCATGTGTCATGTCCTTTACAGAACGACACTGCCACCACAGCACGCCTGAAATAAACTCGGTTCCCACGCCAGTTCTCCTGATTCATGCACTTTCCTGCTCAAGGCAAATCTAGCACAGATCTTTTAATTTTTACATGGACCATTCTTTCTAGTGAAATTTTCTATTGATATTACATGTTGCTTTATTTCCTGTCATTATTTCCTGGGGGTGAGATTGGATAACCAAGCCATCTTGGATAAGGAACAAAAGTATGTGCCACGTCTCCATGGTTAAGCTGTTTGTCTAGTGTTCTGAAGATCATGGGTTTCTTTCAGGGACTGTGATTGATTTCCTCTGGCAATTCCTTTATGGAGATTCTAGGGAACTGTTGCTGGAACTGCAAGGTCCGACAAGTAATGAGACTAACTCCATAAAAATTAAAATAATCAACAGTTGAAGATATAACCTGTATTTTATTCAAGATAAGCAGCCCCTTGTGCATTGATACAGCAAGTGGCACGTTCTAACAAACACTGGCAGGATCTCTGTGGTTCTTCAGTTGTTATGACCCTTAAAGTTGATGTTACGACCCTTTGGATGTTCTAACAAACACTGGAACAACCTCTGTAGTTCTTCTGTTGTTATGGCCCTTAAAGTTGATGTTACGACCCTTTGGATGTTCTAACAAACACTGGAACAACCTCTGTAGTTCTTCTGTTGTTATGGCCTTCAAAGTTAATATTACGACCCTTTGGATGTTCTAACAAACACTGGAACGACCTCTGTAGTTCTTATGTTCTTATGGCCTTTAAAGTTGATGTTACGACCCTTTGGATGTCATCAGTATTGTTAAAGAAGCATCCTTTCAATGGTAACTTTATTTTGGGAATAGAAAATAATCACAGGAAGGCAAATCTGGGGAATAGAGTGGATGGTTGAGAATATACACTTGTTTTTGGGCCAAAGATTCCTGTACACCTACCGCCCGGTGAGCCAGTGCATTTTCATAAAGAAGGAAAAAACTGCCAGGTGATGAATACTCAAGTTAGACAGGTTGAACAGGAATTGGGCGTTCAGGACTAGTTGCATTAGTAATCATTTCCACACCATACACTTTTGAGACGTGAATACCACATGAAAATCTGTGCACTAGATAAACAATTATCCCTATAAACTTGTCGCATTAATTCAACTATCTCAGTGGTGCTTTTTCTGAGTTAATTTAATGTTAGCCTTTTGCTCATTGCTGATTTCGTAACAGTGCAACTCTGACTAGGTAAAAAAAATAAATGTTGGCTTGTTTGTTGTCTACTTATCGGGCGGCGATGAAAAGTTTCCAGGTCATAGGTGAAGGTTGCCTCTTTGGATTCCTTGCTTTGCTTAAAAGCTAGCATTTTTGTTTGAGCCATATTAAAATCATTAATTGTTGCACTTTGTATGGAGTTCTTGTTTTGTGCGATATACTTGGATATCGACTAGCATTTCTGCACAGAGAGACTGGGTAACATGCGATAAAACTCGGGGAGGTGAAGCCGTTCCTCTTGTTTTAACCTTTTTAAAACTTTTTATTATTAAAAAGTAAACGTATTGTTGTTACCTTGTCTTTAGAGTAAACAGGCAGGCTGAGTGAGGGCTCATGCTGCATGAGTAACACATGGTCTCTACAATACTGTTGTGGCTTTGTTCTGTGGAAAGGAAGAACTTTACCCCTGGCCTCAGTTTGCAGTGATTCCCAAGCCTCTCTATAAAATAATATAACACTATCATCTGGAAGGACAGAAAGGTGCCAGCCAAGGAATGAACAAACTTATTTTTTTTTTTTTGGTTCTGCTAAGCTGAAGCGGTAAAGCGTTGCAGAGAAGAGTTAAATGTAGTTTTCTGTTGTTTTATAGTCGCGTAGCTTGTGTTAATATTTTGTTTCTGTAGTGTCTCCTTAACTCCCTCCCCCCATCTCTTTCTTGGTTGGCCTCTTGACTTATAGCCGCTGTTCTGCTTTGGTATGCTGTAGCTGCTGATTGATTTTGTTACATTCTGATGACCAAACCTTCTGATTTTTTGATGTTCGATTAAATTATTTACTGATACACTGCCTACCATTGTTCTTAGTTCTTTGTTGATGATTGTCTCTTCTTGTTTTCCCTGCCACATTTCTTATACATCTCTTCTCACATGTTGTAATTTTGTTTGTTTATTTTGTTCTAGAACTGTCCATTTAATGAACAAACAACAATTATTAATAACAATTAATTTTACATTTAAAGGTCAATTGCAAGAACAGCCCCAAAGCAGCAGGGCAGAAGGTGATCATGGGAAGAAGCCAAAGGCACAAACAAAAGAAGTTGTGAAGGGAGTCAGTGCTGTCGATGGTGAACACAAGGCTAAGAGTAAAGCAGACACAACACCAGGAGTAGCAGACGGGGAGCAGAAGTCAAAGGCACAAATGAGAGCAGAAAGAAGGGCAGTCCAAGTATGTATGGACATATATTATTCCCTCATTCTTCTTTTACCACTGTCTTTCTGTCATTCTTTCACTCAGTCTTCAGTCTCCTAACATACTTCATTGACACTGATTATTACCTCACCTGTTTCTCGCTTCGTCATTTTGAATCTTTTAAATCTTCCCTTTTACAGAAATGTATCAATACTGCTGCATTAAAAGACTATAAATAATGCTACACACAAAAAAGCCCACATAGAAGTTACTGTAAATTGTTGTAGTTTTAAATGTAATTGTATCAATCTCCTTCTGTTTTTGTTTTATAATGACTGCACAAACTTCGTAGTACCAGGGATGATCCTGAAATACTTGTGGGTGGATTTTGAACTCCAAATTTTTGCCCGGGCAGCGCCGTTAGGCTACTCATTTTTGATTTCCAACTGCCAAGGGATTATTTTTAACGTGTGCAACAATACACACAGGCGTCCTCTCTAACTACCAAGAGGCCAAGGGAAATCACTAGAAATCCACATGAAAAAAATCCCAGCCTTCACCGGGGCCTGAACCTCCAGCACTTGAGGCGGACGCCATGCCCCAAGACCACGCAGCCCCCCAAAGGACTTAAAGAAGAAGAAAGAATGATGTATTGCTCATTGTAAAAAATCATATGTTAATAATTTTTAACAGGAAGCTCAGAGAGCTGCAAAAGATGCCAAGAAAAGTGAGCCTTCTGCTGGCGTAGCAAGTTCTGCTAGTACAACGACAGGTTGGTTCTTCTAGCTGTTGTCATACTGAGTTTATTGTAACACAACACAAACTGTGACTAGAAAGCACAGTAGAGGCAAATAATTACACATTAATTATATCCAAATGTTCCTTTCAGCCTTTATCAACAGGGGAAAAAAAACTGCAAACTAATTAAACAGTTGACATTGTCAGCATCGAACCTCTTCTTTTACCTTTACTCTTTCATGAAGCAATAGCTGTTGACGAACTTACACTTATTTATCCTATCTTTTGCTGTCTCATGTAGCTCACCCCATGTCTTCCCTGTCTTTTTAACCTCATTCTCTAGTTCCCCTCCATGTGTTTTTTTGGGTCTGCCATTATCTCTATACCTCTGTTGGTTCCAGTATAAATACATTCTAGTTATATTCTCAAGTTTTCTGAGAAGTGTGTACTGTTCGACACCATCATCTTTTAACATAGAACTGAAAAACTGAATAATTTTCTTTTAAATCAGGAAGGCCTTTAACCCTTTCGCTGCTGCGCCCTCCGCCAGCCAACGTAACCACTGTGCTAAGCCAGGCGAGAGCTAATCTTTCCCCCTGTGCTGAATACCGTTTTTTCCTTCAAAAGCAGAAGACGCGCTTACGGCACGGGGTAAAAATTGTACACCTAAAATAAAAAATCGTTGAAGGCGTGTGGTTGAACTTTGCGCTGACAAGTCAGACGCGCTATTACTACGCTGTGAAAACTCATTAACAAAAAGAAAACACTACAAACTTACAAAGCAAACACAAAACACTTTAGTAAGCAAATACATGGTTTTTATTATTATTAATAATATCTTTGTGTGTGAAATATTTCAAAACAAGGTGCGACACACAATGCCAAATCACATTCCTTGCACATGTATCTGGGTTTCCGTCGTTTTTTGCTTTTTGCGCATACCACACACTTTCTGGTTGGGAATTTTTTCTGCGATGTTACGGACTCTATTATTGAAGGGGAATGCCTTTGTACTAAACGAAGTGGCAGATCTTCACTTTTTTGTCCTCCTACACTTTTTCTCTTTTCCTTGCAATATTTATGTAGAATTTCTCTTACTAACATTAAGTGAAATTCGGCAACAGGTGTGTTTTTCCCCACAACAACTTTATATAATGAATGTGCACAGTACACCAACCACGCTTCACATAACGTGTAAAGCATCTAAATCCACCTGAACGCACGTGACAGTATGTTCAATTAATTATTTCTTTGGTTATCTGTTGCCGAAAATGCTAACAGCTTAAATTTAAAATTTGCATTTAAAATAATTAATTTAAAAAAAAAAAAAAACGGCACGTAGGGGTTGAACGCTGGACCTTTAGATTGTAAGGCAGACGTGATACCAACTACACTAGAAATTCACATGAAACTATGAACTGAAAAAAAGACCAGTATTGTACACTTTAATAGACAAACACATTTATGTCAGTTGTATAGTATATAATTAATATTAATCATCACGTCACTACGTGACTATATCTTTTTTTTTTTTTTTTTGATTATGTTGGATCCGTTTCAAATCCAGTCGATGTAGATAGCTAGGTCATATGGTCACTGGTCAGTCTTGTTCACAGCCAGAAGTACACGCGTCCGCCGGCGTGCCGCGAAGATAACCCAGCTCATATAACTCACACGTTTCAAAGTGATCCTTACTACTACTCCTTGAAAGAAACTCAATTAATTCTTCTTTATTTAAACAAATGTTCTTGTTATTTTGTATTTTAAAAAAAAAAATTAGACTAACGCAAAACCAGAAATATATTTCAGGGCAAAAAAATTACCGAACACCGACAATGCTTCTATGGTAACAAAGAAACAGGATAACGTGAAATGCATCTAAATACGCCTAAACTCACTCGATAAGGGTTTTAATTGTATGTAAACGGATCAGTTTGATCAGATTAAGTTAATGTGTATTGCTATTTCACCCCTAAGAATTACTGTCCTTAGCAATCTGTAAAAAAATGTCCAGAACGAGATATCTCGTCCTTAGCAGTGAGGGCACAGAAAATTGCAGCCGAGTTATCTCGTCTTTAGCAGTCTGCCGGGCAGACGAGTTATCTCGTCCATAGCAGCGAAAGGGTTAAGGTACAGAGTTCAGCTCATCTGCTGTATTTTGCCTGGTGTCTTCTTGAGTCTGAAATCTAGTCCTTTTTCAGTTTGGGAAAGAGCGAACAGTTGCAAGAAGCTACGTTAGCGGAGTATGAAACCTGATCTTTTTCTTCTTCGCGCTCGCCACCTTTAAACTCTGACGGAAATTTCTGGCTGTTCATCTACTTCTTGACTTTGGTTGTGGTTTCTCACTTCTCAGGCAGAACTGACTTTCAAGCAAAATCCCCAAATTAGTTGCCTTTTACAATATGCTTGTTGAGGGGACAGTGGGTCTGTTCCCCCCCCCCCCCCCCCTCCCAACATGGGGCCCCAGAAACCATATGGGGAGAACCTGATGAACCAGAGGAATTGTGTATTTGGTCAAGAAAATGTTAGGTAGGAGGATTATATGAATGCATTGTCATGATGTAGCTGCCATGTTCACATTGCTGACAGTTCTCGTCATTTACAGGGCTCTGTGGTGAGGAAACCAAAAATAGGCTCACCACTGCCTCCCCGACAAATATATCATAGGAGTTGACTAGTTGGGGATATCCTTTGAAGTCGGAATACATCTGCCTGAGAGGCAAGTAACCACAAGTCTGCATACAAATAAGTCAGACTGTGAAACATGTGCGCATGCAGCACTCATGTTCTAGTACAAGACTAAAGTCTGGAGTTGGATGAACACCCAGAGCTTTCCGCTGGAGTTTACAGCCAGTGAACGTAAAGAAGAAGGAGAAAAAAAGATTAACAGTGGACAGCATCACAAAGATGATAGATGGCCCAGTTTTGTACAGTGGGCGCTAAACAGTTTTCAGAATTGTCTAGAAATTATTCAGGCAGTGAAGGAAGTCGGAAAGAGGACTGGTTACCCCTCATGATTATGAAAATTACCTTATGTATGTGAGGTAGGGTGGGTTGAGATATTTTAATTAGAAACAGTTGAGGTTGAATTAATCTGCTAGTTTCTACTTTGTATAGTCCATGCCGTATGGCATGACTGATCATGTCTGTCTAAAACCTTCTGTCTCAGGTACTTCCAGTCAGTTTTGACACAGATGATCATACAGATGTGTCAAACTGTCCAAACTTTCTTGGTCTCCCTCTTCTTCTTCTTTACCCTCCAACTTTCCCACCATCACGATGTGCTCCAGTTTTTTCTTCTCATGACATGACCAGAGAATGTAGATTGTCTGCTTTTTGTTTTTAACAGCATTAACATGGACACATGATTTTTTTTGGTTTCACAGGCCGAAAAGAAAATGCTGGTGAAAAGTCAAAACCTGCAGTAGAGAAGTCAAAACCTGCAGTAGACAAGTCAAAACCTGCAGGAGACAAAATTGGTGGTGAGAAAAACTCTAAGAAGAAGTCCGGAGGGAATGTAGCAGTCCAGGGTGAAACAGAAGAACAGATGTGGGCGAAGAAAGAGAGAGAAATACTGTGAGTGTAGTTAGTGTTGACCCAAAAAAAAGTTTTCCTATAATGAAAAATCCTGTTCAGCCTAAATGATCATGGTTATAGTTGGGAATTCAATAGTGTTTCTTCCTTGTCACTTGTACTCAAAATAAGATGTTCTGTTCTGCATCAACTGTGATCCCATTTGTCTGATATCCAAGGGTTATGATCTTGAAAGCTAGTCCTTTGGGGCAGGGCTATTCAAGTTGGCTCAGGGGCCAAAATGTTCAAAAACGGTGATTGTCACGGGCCAGAGGCCTCAGCACCAGCATAGAAAGATGGAAAATACAATACAGCTAGAAGTGATCCATGGGCCACTTGCTAGGCCTTGGCGGGCCAGATTTGGCCATTTGAATAGCCCTGCCTTAGGGGGTCTAGTTGCATGCTGCTGTTTTCTTGTGGACTTTTTCTGGCTAAGTCCTGACAAGGACTAGTCCTGAGGACTATGCTGTCCTCTCTTGCAACTCTGGTCCTTGTCTGTTTCACCCATAATTTATCTTAGCACTTTCAGAAATGCTCCTTGACCCTTAGCAAGTGCTGTAAAATGCAGTTGCAGGTAACTAACTTGGAGTTTGCTAAAATTCGAGGCATTGGGCCAAAAGGTGTAGATATTGCAGCCTAGCTGTAAACCCCAACACAGCACACCAGCTGTCTTTTTTTTTTTTTTTGATAGAGCGAAGAAGAAAAAGAAGCTGGGATTTACCCAGTCTTAATATAAATAAGCATCTGAGTTGTGTCATGAGAAATGAAGATGAGCCATGAAGTACTGTTCAAGTCACCCCCTTGATGGCCTTTAGACTAGTGAAAGTATGGGGCCTTACATAGTATTCGTTTCTTGCTTGAATCCTTTCACCCAAGAATTTATGTATAAAAATAAACATTCCTCCTTTCCAGGGATTTTCATATTTGTCTAAGTTCTGATTAAAAGTAGAAAGTAAAGGACCCTTTCCCACACCTTCAGACATCTTGGACCTATAAGGCTGGACCTATATTTTATACACCAGTCGGCAGTTGGTGAGGATGTCAACATCACACCATCTGCCTTTACTTCTCAGGACCTTACCTGATACCCATTTAAGGTTGGTCGAGTTGGGAGTCAAGGTCTTTTTTTTCTCTTTTAAAAGTCTGGCTCTTCCCATCCCTGTTCCAGGCCGCCCCAGGCAAAAATGGCAGCCCTTCTTAGGGCTGCCAAATCCACTCCCAAAAAGCCCGACTACGCCCACCAAGCCTGATCGAGCAGATATGTTGTAGCAGCAAGAAATCAAACTTAGGCGAAAATGATCACCACAAAGAAACAAACTAAATTCAGATAGCAAAGAAACCGTCCTTGATAAAGCAGGCCTTCGGGCGGCTAAAAGAGGACTAAGTTTGACATTTTTATATTCTTTTTCCAAGTTCCAAGGACCTGAATCCACGACCTTAGATCCGCAAGCGAGCGTCTAGCCACGACACCAGCGGCTTCCCAAAGTTCAAATTATTAACCCACATTTCCTATCTAAAAATTCCCTGAACTTTTGATTCTCACGGTATTTCTAGTCATTCTAGCACTTTAAACAGAACAACTGTTAAGTTTTTCTACTGAATCAGAACAGCAATGACATGCAAAAAAAAACAACATGTGACTTAGCACATATAGCATCAAAAATAGAAAGTTATGATGCCTTAGAACAGGACACGGTCAACATGTTCACAAAATTAAAGATTGGCGAATCAGCCATGTGCACATGTGGACTGGCACCTGTGACAACAGATCACATTCTTTAAGACTGTCCTAAATACAACATTTCCGGGCAGGATTTCATTGGTAGAATCCAAACTTTATGGCCACTAACTGAATTGCAAAAGACAGTGAAGTTCACACTAGAGACAACATTGCAGATATAGATAATTTATTTCAATCGAACCAAAGAAGGAGAAGAAAAAGAAAGTTATGAAGAGACAAAATATGTTGAAATATTGTTCTTCTACTTACATGTGATAATGTTTTTGAATGTTTCTCATGTAGTATATTAGGATTTATTCAAACTAAAGACTGCATATCTTATCAGCTATCAGTGTCATACCATGTTATGGCATAAAATTCCATAAGACTGTCAAATGAAAAATTGTAAATTATCATATAAAATGTCAACAGATTTGAGATTTGTTATCCCACCATTAAAAAAAAAAGTAAAGACTTTTTTCTACGCCTTTAGGCATTTGGAGCATATAGGGCTAGACCTATATTTTTGTAGACCAATCGGCACAAGATGGGTGATGTGGTCAGCATCTACTTCCCAGGACTGCACCCGGTACCCACTCAAGGCTGGGTCGACCTGGGAGCCAAGGTCATTTTGTTGAAAAAACTCCGGCTCCACCAGGGAGCAAACTCAGGACCTTCCGATCCGCGGCGAGCGTCTAGCCGCTCCGCCACGGGGACTCCCTTTATCTCATCATTCAATGCACAAAGGTCTATTAAGAATGTAGATTTATAGTTCCAGATAATTTTACAATAAAAATCCCTTGGGCTGTAGGTTAATGATTTCATTGATAATTGTAGGCTGATAGGGTAAACTGATTCAGTGAAACTCTACTTGCAGTGGTATCGCATTGATAATTGTAGGCTGATAGGGTAAACTGATTCAGGGAACCTCTACTTGCAGTGATATCGCATTGATATTGTAGGCTGATAGGGTAAACTGATTCAGTGAAACTCTACTTGCAGTGGTATCGCACTCAAGATTGACAACAGCATTCTCAACCTGGGTTTCCAGTACTTTCATCACAACATTGTTGGTGCTAATGCGAGGTGCATGGCCTTACTGGCAACATTGAAGGAGGTCAGTTTCTGTGTTTACTCTGTACATTTTGTGATTAATTTGTAGTCATTAGGAATGAGATCAAAGTATGAAATGGTACTTCAGCCAACTTAAATAGATGCGGCTCCTTGTCAAGGAGAGAAACAATGCCAGGAGAAAATAAATACAGATTCTTTTTTATGCACAATTATTAAAATTTGTGGCTATCTTCTGAATAACGGTCCCAAATTATCGAGGCAGAAAATATACCCTAACAGGGCTTCAGTCATGTGTCAATTGCGCACTTCCGACGACTTCCGCCACCGCCGAGAGTATCCCCCCGCTTTTGTCCCCCACGCCGCATGAGCGGTGTGGATTGGGGCTAAACTAGATGGCTGGGACTCGAGCAGCAGCTACCGCATTTCCTGCAGCTGCCTTCATTTTATTTGCTCGTGAGTCCTAGCCATCTAGTTTAGCCCCAATCCACGCCGCGTGGGGGACACGCGGCGGGTGGATACTCTCGGCGGTGGCGGAAGTCGCTGGAAGTTCGCAATTCTGCGGCGGCGATATAGTCCCTGGAAGTACGCAATTGGCACGTGACTGAGGCCCTATTAGGGTATATTTTCTGCCTTGATAATTTGGGACCGTTATTCGGAAGATAGCCAAAAATTTTAATAATTGTGCATAAAAAAGAATCTGTAATGTGTGTGAGAAAATGTATGATGTGGAAGTGAGAGAATCTGTAATGTGTGAACAGGAAAATAGATCTGTATTGTTGGAGAATCTGTAATGTATGAATGAGATAAGCTGTAATGTATGAATGAGAGAATAAATCTGTAACATCTTAGCAAATCTGTAATATGTTAGTGGTATCTATAGGGCTTGAGTGGGAGAATTATTAATATGATTGAGAGAATCTGCATTGTGTGAGTGAGAGAATCTGATATATGTAGGGATTTTAGTCAAAATTTTTATTTTAGGTTTTTTACTTTTAAACCAAGACAGCTGAATAGAGGTTGAAAAACTGAGTTCAACGGTACCTCAATGAAGTCTGTATGTCAATTCTAAGCGGAGATATTCCCATTTCAGTGACGGAAAGTGCCCTCAAAAAATTATAATGGAAAACACAGAAACAAGATGGCGGCGTGTTCCCAAGTGAAAACTGGACCTAAATTTATCATGTTTAATGTCAATAACTCTCAAGTTTTTTGCTGAACCCCTTAGCAACCATATGTCATTGCTTTCAGGACAGCAAGCTCTAACTAAAGTTGTTGCCTTTTTAAAAAATATGATGTGATGCAAACCTAAATAACATAAAAATGAGTAAATTTATCAGTATTCATTAAATACCTTATGAATTAATTATTATTAATTATCCAGTGAGTCTTGCAAGATGTATACTGTAATATATATATATATATATATATATATATATACTTTTATATCTATTCTTCCTGTTATGATGCATCTTTTTCTATTTGTTGAAAAATGCTTTTTCTCGCACTCTTATTTGTGTGTGTGTGTATGTTTTGTGTGTGTGCATACATCTGACCGAAATTTGCTTTATTCCACTGTTTAAAAAATATTAATATTTAATAGCGAGTGGATTGACTTCATTGCATTGTTACTGATTTTATATGGCTTTGTCTTTCTCCACAATACTGAACAAATAACGCATGCCGAGAGCTTAGCACAAAGCCTGGATACCGTAGCTCCAGCAACAGCCCTCAGAGGTCTCCGCTAACCAAAAAAATGCATTTTCGAGTCGAACAATGCAGTTGTAAATGAACGTACAACAATCTTCCGAGCGCGAGGTTAACGGCTTGACCACTTTGATACGGAGACCCCTATATTCCTATATTGTTTTATAACCAAGTGAAAATGAGCGCCCCTCTTACTGATTTAACATAATCCCTTTTTCAATCTTTGTGAGTTATTCTTTCATTTTATTGATGATGAGACATTTCACCACATTGTTCCCCTCTTCTTCTTAACTAGTCACTGCTTGATATTTTATTTACTTGTTCAAAATAATCGAAGGTAACCGCTCATGCCCGATTTGTGACTCAGTGCTATGTTTTTCATGGAGTAAAATTATTAAATAAGCTCCTTTGTAATTCGCTTTGGATTTATGTTGTGTTTTCATGGAGATGTAATTCGCTTCGGATTTATGTTGTGTTTTCATGGAGCAGCATTTCATAAGGTAAGAGGAAAAATTACATTATATTTTATTAACTTATCTATGTCCTACGTGATCTGTGATTAAATATTATTAATCATAAGTTGTAAGTAAGTGAATTTATTCAGTTGAAAATAATATATTATTATTAATTTTATTAATCAACTTTCTAAATCATCATCTATAAGTCAATTTTAAAACAGTATCAGTCATAAATAATAACTGTTATTTATACTATTTAAGACAATAAATATGCACCACAAAATCATAGTGCAGAAATGTGTGGCAGACATTTTTTAAAAATGTCAGTCTGGGTGCGGGGAGTGGGGGTCAACAGGTAAAAAGGCTTCAAACAGGAAATGTTATTCATGCCTAATGATAAGTTATGGCTTAAAAAATGCTATAATGGCTAAAAATTCAAAAAAAGATTAAATAACTACTATATATTCATTTAAAAGTATATTATAAAATGTTTAAACCACTGTCTGCGTCCAAAATGTCAGTCTGGGTGCGGGGAGTGGGGGTCAACAGGTAAAAAGGCTTCAAACAAAAAATGTTGTTCATGCCCAATGATAGGTTATGGCTTAAAAAATGCTATAATGGCTAAAGATTCAAAAAATGATTAAATAACTACTATATATTCATTTGAAACTATTATTATAAAATATTTAAACCACTGTCTGTGTCTATTTTTAACGCAAAATACCCTTGGTTAAAAACGTGCTAAAACATTATTTTCAGGTATTTAAAATTATTAAAACTCATGTGAAATTAAAGTTAAAGAAAGGTAAATTATTAATACAAATAAAACTTGCATTATTTTTGAACTGTTTTTATAAATAACTAGATTAATTAATCTGAGATAAACAGTTTGTTTAGGCCATGCGGTAGCCATTTTGAAAAATCGCCGATTCAGCTTTAAAGAAGTAACCGGGAAGAAATTGAAAGTTTAAATTTTGTGATGTACAGATTCCAGCAAAACTGCCCATATTTATGTAAAAATGGACGCAGAATCCAAAAATGACGATTCCTAGTATATATATTCACTTTAAAAAGGAGATATTAAAGAAATTTACTTCCCGCATGGCAAATAGTGAAATTTATTTGGCTGAACAAAGATCGCTATGTAAGTTAGGTGTCGATTGGTTGAGCGACCTTTTCTGAATAACTTTGAGCCCACATATTCGATTCTGAACAGCCAGTATTGAGCAACAGGATTTCAAAGTAACTGATAGGCAAAGGAGCCATTATTCGTGGACCACCGACGCCATCTTGTAACTAAGCGATCTCTACTTTCGTTTTTAAGTGGGTCACTTGAATGATTAAAATAGCTAATATATGTGATTGACAGAATCTGTCATGTGTGATTAAGAGGATCTGTTACATATGAATGAGTACAGTATTCATTATTAAAATATGGACAAGAACTGGAAAGTCTAACCCAGTTAGCAAATGCCTGCAGAAGTTGGATGTGTGGGCTGAAAGGTGCAACAGTCGCAGCCATGCTGTAAATGGGCACAACACAATTACATCTTTGGATGAATGCAGAAAAAAAAAACTGGACAAGAATGTGGGAATTGGTGTGAAAAGGGGCAGAAAACCTGTCTTCACTTCCTGTGTCTACCAGTCTTTAGGGTGGTGTAGGAGGAGGAAGGGTCTTGAGCCTGAGGATTTAGGGCCACATAACTAGTTCAATTTCCATGTCATGACTTCACATTAGTCATAATGGTCTCCAGTGGTCCAGTCACATGGTAAAAAATGAGTTGATGTATTAAATTTATATAACCGCTGCATTCATTTTTACTGATTACTCTGTTTCTTTAGTGTGTAATTTTTGTTTGTTTGTGCCTGAAAATGGAATATTTCTGCATTTTGTATGTGTGTGAACTGTCTCAAATGTATTTTTTTTCATAGAAATATTTTATTCAGAAAACTAAAAATTTAATTTTACTCCTAGCTGAAGAAAAAATCTCCTTACCAAGGACTTGAACCTGGGTCTCCCCATGAGCTCTGAATTCTCAGCCGCTCTTTAGGAATGGGTGTTTCACTTATTTGTCTTTACTCCACTTATCTTCCTACCCCCAGGTAATCACAAGATATAGAACACCAGATGGAAAGGAGCTGTCGAGAGACTTGGAAAAGAACTTTCTTAACCCATGTATAAAGTGAGTAGATTATCTATTCTTAAATAATTGATTTTCTAAAAGTAATTTTGATGTTACTTCTCCTCATAAACTCCAGCAGAAAATTCTGGATGTTTGTCCACTTCTGGGCTTTGGTCTGGTTCCAAACTTGAGTTTGTAATCTGTCAGTTTTTTTTTTAAGTATGTCAGCAGTATTAGGCACATATAGATTTTTATTTGAAGGCCCTCATCCCCCCTTCTTCCCCCCCCCCCTTTTCACCACCACAGGTACATAATTATGTAAATGTATTTCAAAATTACATTAGTCTCTACATTACTTTATCTTTATTGTAAGTAAAGAAATTATTTTGTAAGTGTTCTTTGTCCAGATTGGAAATTGAAAAGAGTAGCCTACAAATAAATAATTTTTCATTACAGTAAAACTTTGTTACCACCGACTTACTTAAGACAAAAACTCAGTTTTACTACCAGCAGGGATGTATCTTATGTTGTAAAACTGAAAATCCCTATGTCTGTCTGCATATTTCTATTTAATAAAAACTGTCAAAAGCACAATGTCTAGGTTTACTGTGCTATTTGCAACAAGGTTTCTATGTATATCTGATAATTAACGCCACAGTCACTAAAGGTTAACATCACTGGAGTTGTATCCATTGAGTATCTACATTTTTTTTAAAGTGCCTTGAAGATTAACTTTGATAAAACTGTATTTTGCTGTCATCTCTCTTTAGATTTGTAGTCTGGACAGTGGCAATTATTTTCTTTTAGCAGTGAGGACTGTGATAGTATAGTGGTTTGACCAGTATTTCCTAGCTAGAGTTGGTGCTACTGCCACGTGGGGGTAGTGGTGGGGTGACAGCTTCACCTGTCAAATTAAGGGCAGGGGTAGGTGCCTCAGGACAATAAATAAACATATGTCAGTGATGGAGACAATAAATAAACATATGTCAGTGATGGAGACAATAAATAAACATATGTCAGTGATGGAGACAATAAATAAACATATGTCAGTGATGGAGACAATAAATAAACATATGTCAGTGATGGAGACAATAAATAAACATATGTCAGTGATGGAGACAATAAATAAACATATGTCAGTGATGGAGACAATAAATAAACATATGTCAGTGATGGAGACAATAAATAAACATATGTCAGTGATGGAGACAATAAATAAACATATGTCAGTGATGGAGACAATAAATAAACATATGTCAGTGATGGAGACAATAAATAAACATATGTCAGTGATGGAGACAATAAATAAACATATGTCAGTGATGGAGACAATAAATAAACATATGTCAGTGATGGAGACAATAAATAAACATATGTCAGTGATGGAGACAATAAATAAACATATGTCAGTGATGGAGACAATAAATAAACATATGTCAGTGATGGAGACAATAAATAAACATATGTCAGTGATGGAGACAATAAATAAACATATGTCAGTGATGGAGACAATAAATAAACATATGTCAGTGATGGAGACAATAAATAAACATATGTCAGTGATGGAGACAATAAATAAACATATGTCAGTGATGGAGACAATAAATAAACATATGTCAGTGATGGAGACAATAAATAAACATATGTCAGTGATGGAGACAATAAATAAACATATGTCAGTGATGGAGACAAAGAGGGGTGGATGGGAAAATTATATTTACATTAACTGTCCCTGGTGAAGCCATTGAACAAATCTAGTTATTCATAACACAACTATTAATCCCGAGGCTGGCTCACATTTTTTTCTCTTCAAACACAGATTCTTGATATTTGGGTCTCTTTGAATTCATGCTAATGAGTTTTGCTGTATCTGAACTTTCAAGCACAACTTAATAGAATAGGTTAAAGTAGTAACTGCCTTGGGATAGAACAAGTTAAAACCTTTAATTGTTCCACTCAATCTCTACAGGTACATCAATTATTGTCGACCTATCAGCACAAGCATGGGCAACGCAATTAAGCATTTAAAACATCATATTAATAAAATACCAAGCGACATGGATGATGAAACTGTAAGTTGAATGTTTTCTTCAATACACTCCTTTATTATTTGTTATCCCTGCTATTGAAGATGTTTGTTTCATTTAAAAAAAAATTATTTTGAAATTTGTCCATGAAGCACTATTTTTATATTATAGATAATAATGTGGTTCTTGAGAAGAATGTTGCAAATAACTTGGACTGCCAGAATAACCAACATTGAATGCCTGGGAATGGCTACTGAAAGTAGAACATTATATACAGCAGTGAGGAGACAAGGTTCTTTGGTCGTGTGATGAGAAAAAGAGCACTGGAAAATATGATGATGACTGGAGAGATCACTGGTAGAAGAGGCAGATCAAGAGAAATGATGGTGGATGGCTTAAGACAGTGGCATGGAGGAATATCATCAGTGGAATTGATCCAGAACACCAGAGACCAAGATCTGTGGAGAATGCATAAACACCTACATCAGCTGCCAAGGCACTTGATGATGATGATGATGAGATACCCCATGTATGGGTTCCGGGGCCCCATTGTAGGAGGAAAAAAGAATAGACACCCCCCTCCCCCAACAAGCATGTCGTAAGAGTCGACTATTTAGGCATCTTTCCTACAGAGTCAGAGGGCATCTGAGGCGTGGAACCAACATTCTGCATACAAATAAGCCAGATCTGTAAAACAGATGTGTACGCAAAACTCTAATTCTGTAACAATACCAGAAGTGGACGAACAACCAGAATTTTCTGCTGGAGTTCACAGCTGGTGAACAGGAAGAAGAAAATTATTATAAGAAGGAAGGCTAACCCGGGCAACAAATATCTGAAAATGTTGGATGTGTCAGCCGGATGACACTAATGTTGCAGGCAGGCACAATGTAATTACGTTTTCAGATGAATAGAGAATGAGATACAGCAAATTGTACCCCAGCAGCTATTACCTAATCAACTAATCAATCTTCTAAACCGCTTTGGCAAGTTTGGATAGAATGATAAATGGTTGGCTCCAGCAGCTATTGGGAACAAATAAAACAATTTTTTTTGACATAATTAACTCTTTCAGGGCGACATATTTTCTGGGGTTTTGACAGCATTAATTTTGAGCGGAATTTTTTTACTGCAACATGATAAAGCTAAAACCTTCCTAAAGAAAAAATATTGGCTGTATAGAGATGTATATCAAATAAAGAGAAAGAGGTGCAGAGTAAATCTAAACTATTTAAGTGTCAGTATTACAACAAAATATTATTAAAATCACACAAGACTCAAGGATGTTAGACAGATATGAAGATTATTTACACAAACATGTTGTGCTTACCTTACTTTTTACTTGTTCAACAACACTGCTAACCAATTCTAAGAATTCACTTGCCTTCTCTATTCAGTTATGTATCAGCTAGTCTTTATTTAAAACAGTAAATTTAACTACTTTGGATGTTATGACCATTTTTGCATGATATGTGAGATTTCACAACAACCGAAAGTGGGAAAACACCTGATTGAAACATGATGATCTGATTGAAATATTTTTTCCGCCATCCTAACCTAAACTATCGTCAGTGGGTTTGTCATTTGTATTATCAGTCATAATATCAGGACTGTTGTCACTGTCTGGCTGTGATTTATAAGTGACAGAGAAGTATGAACAGATCTAGACCTTTTCCCTTATCATTTGGTCTGGAAAAGTCACATAAAATTGAATCACACCTAATCAATTTAAAACAAATCAGAAAGTAATCCAGGCATGATGACAAACTTTATATAAATTCATTTTCACAGCAAACAAAACAGTATTAGGGTGTCTTTATGAAAAGCCACTAAAGTGGGGAACAGTCTGAATGGGATGGATTCAGAAGCCACTAAAGTGGGGAACAGTCTGAATGGGATGGATTCAGAAGCCACTAAAGTGGGGAACAGTCTGAATGGGATGGATTCAGAAGCCACTAAAGTAGGGAACAGTCTGAATGGGATGGATTCAGAAGCCACTAAAGTGGGGAACAGTCTGAATGGGATGGATTCAGAAGCCACTAAAGTGGGGAACAGTCTGAATGGGATGGATTCAGAAGCCACTAAAGTGGGGAACAGTCTGAATGGGATGGATTCAGAAGCCACTAAAGTGGGGAACAGTCTGAATGGGATGGATTCAGAAGCCACTAAAGTGGGGAACAGTCTGAATGGGATGGATTCAGAAGCCACTAAAGTGGCAAATAGTCTGTAACTCATGCTATTTTTTGGCGTTTTCTGACATAAAATATTTAATTAAAAAAATTTAAGAGAAAAAAAGAAAGACAGAGAATGCTTGTCAGCACTGGAGCTATCAGACATTTGTCCTGTTTGTTTCTGTTTGTATTTTCAGAAAATTGTATACACTTTTCCTATCAGTATTTTCAGTTATCTTAGCTTTTCCTGTTTGTATTGTCAGGAAATTTGTTTCATTCTGTATTCTCAGACTCTTTTCTGAGCTTCCCTATTTGTGTTTGTGTGCGTTTGTCTTTATTATTCCTGTTGGTGTTTTCAGGCATATGTGTTTATTGTTTATATATTCAGACAATTACTCAGCCATTTCTGGGTTCTGTTTGCAGGCAATTTCCAAACTACGGGACGAAATAGACAACTTCATTCAAGTCAACATAATCAAAGCAGCTGAAGCCGTGGCATTTTATGCCAACACCAAAATTGACAACGGGGATGTTATTCTCATTTATGCTGCGTGAGTGCCCCTTCTTCTTCTGTCTTCAGCCGTAAAGGGTGGTTGGCAACATTGTTTGATGGTTTACAGCTAGGTTGTGATATCTCTGTCCTTTGGCCTGATACATCAGATTTCTGCAAGCCTTCAGTGAGTCATCTTTTACGAAATGCTCGTTAGGGGGCAGTGAGTCAACCTCCACACACTCACACCCCCCCCCCTCCCCCCATTCTTTCCCAAACAAGTATGGGGATGTGTTGGTACAACTTTTGCACTGTTTTCACAAGTATTCTTAGCCACTACAAAAATGTTTAGGGGCAGAAGAAGCATTTACTCACATAAAAAAATACACAAGGCAACATGGAAATTACCTGACCATAAGACAACAGATAAATTGATCATATCTGTATGCAGTAGCAAAGGATAGAACAGCTTGGCATGAGATGGTTGTGGGTCTATGCTCCATTGGGGGAATAAAGGGCAGAGAAAGAAAAGTCCAACATTTGTATGATTTTCACAAGTATTTTTCACTACAAAAATTTCTTTAAGCCGCAGAGATATGATTTTACATAAAATATACTGAAAATTCTTTAGACACCTGATTGAGTAATCCAGTTAGTTAGTTAGTTAGTTAGTTAGTTAGTTGGGTTATCCTCATTGCACTCCGGACATGTCCATAGGTGCTCAGATCCTCCCCTCAGTATGAACCCCAACGTCCGATGGCTAATAGTACCAGTTCTATGTTGATTAACAAGTCTTCTGGCGTAGCTGGTGTGCGTCTCGTTTTTTTGCGGTGCCGATCTTAATTCCCAAGTCTGCCATTCTGGCGAGTGATGTGGATTCACTGCCACCAAAGTCGTCTATCCTTCCCATTTCTCTGAGGGCATTGATAATATCAGCATGATCCATAGGCTGACCGTCGGTAGTGATAGCGGATCCAGCCAACCTGTCAGCTCTTTCATTTCCATCGACGCCTGCGTGTCCCGGAACAAAAATAAAGGTGACTCCACGGACAGTGGACTTCTGTAATGATTCAAGCCATTGTCTTCGCACTGAACCTGCCTGAACCTTCCGGATCATACTTATTGAATCACTGAGTATACACACGCGGGTGTATTTTTGTGTTTCAAGCCAGGCAAGCGCTTGTGTCACTGCCATCATCTCCATCGTCATGCTGCTGGTTGTCATGGAGAAGGCGCCGTTGGCTTCTTTGACTGTTCTGCCCGCTGAGCGTGCTGTAAATGCCCATGCGCTTCTTCTTTGGCGTATAACGGATCCGTCTGTATAGATTATTGCATCTGCTTCGTCTGAATTTTCACCGATGAGAGCGTTGACCTCTGCATTAACAGCAACAGGATTCTCTTCTCTACATCGCCTGTTGAGTGTGACAATACAGGAAAATGAACAAATAAACGCCTGAGGCACAGGTATCCATTCTGCACCAGGTATGATGTCGGTTAGGCTGCATATTTGCCTAATCCAGATGGTTTGAAAGTGGCACCAGCCAGAAGACAACCAACAGCAACGGCCAGAAGACAACCAACAGCAACGGCGAGAAGACAGCCAGCAGGAGCGGCCAGAAGACAACCAACAGCAGCGGCCAGAAGACAACCAACAGCAACGGCCAGAAGACAACCAACAGCAGCGGCCAGAAGACAACCAACAGCAACGGCCAGAAGACAACCAACGGCCAAAAGACAACCAACGGCAATGTCCAGAAGACAACCAACGGCAATGGCCAGAAGACAACCAACAGCAGCGGCCAGAAGCCAACCAACAGCAACAGCCAGAAGACAACCAACAGCAACAGCCAGAAGACAACCAACAGCAACAGCCAGAAGACAACCAACAGCAACAGCCAGAAGACAACCAACGGCCAGAAAACGACCAACGGCAGCGGCCAGAAGACAACCAACGGCCAGAAGACAACCAACGGCCAGAAGACAACTAACGGCCAGAAGACAACTAACGGCAGCGACCAGAAGACAACTAACGGCAGCGACCAGAAGAAAACCAACAACAACAGCCAGAAAACAACCAACAGCAACAGCCAGAAGACAACCAACAGCAACAGCCAGAAGACAACCAACAGCAACAGCCAGAAGACAACCAACAGCAACAGCCAGAAGACAACCAACAGCAACAGCCAGAAGACAACCAACAGCAACAGCCAGAAGACAACCAACAGCAACGGCCAGAAGACAACCAACAGCAACGGCCAGAAGACAACCAACAGCAACAGCCAGAAGACAACCAACAGCAACGGCCAGAAGACAACCAACAGCAACGGCCAGAAGACAACCAACGGCAACAGCCAGAAGACAACCAATCACAAACATCAGAAAGAGGCAATCGTCCTTTTTGGGGCCATTTATGAGAGTAAACAAACTAAGGCAAGTGGAAAGATTTATGAAAAGAGTAGTTGAAGAAGACAACACACGAGGATTCTTGAGAGCCTATTTGCTGTGGTATGGAAGAATATCCACAGGCTGTTGGGGATCGCAAGTTATAGAAAGGCATTGTTGCCCATACCAGTTGTTAAGGAACTTGATGATGATTCCTGACTACAATCTTCTTCTTCTTTGCGTTCACCAGCTGTAAACTCTGGTGGAAGGAAAGTTCTGGTTGTTCGTCCACTTCTGAACTGCAGGCCTGTTCCAAAACCTGAGTGTGGCGTGTGCATCTGTTTGACAGATCTAACACACCTGTGTGCAGACTGTTGGTTTCTTGCCTCTCAGGCAGATGCACTCCGACTTCGAAGGAAGCTCCAAATCAGTCGACTCTTACGACATGCTTTTGGGTAGGCAGTGGGTCTATTCTTGTTTTCCCTATAATAGGGCCCCGGAACCCACACGGGGGTGACTACAATGATAATGGTGCATTGTGTACTGGGACTTATGTACATGGTCTTGCAATTCTGGCTGGGTCCATGTCTTAGTGTTGTCTTCCCAGATGTATTGCTGTCTACCTCTTTGTCCTCAACTTATCCCTTATCTTTTTCAAAGAGTTATGTATTTTTTGTGTCTTTTTTTTTTTATAGGTGTTGTGTATTTTATTAGTACTCAGGGAAAAGTTGAGACGGATGTACAATCAGACTGTTTGTTGCTGGTACCATTAGAATTGCAACTCTGCACTTGATGTTGAAGTTCAGGATGTTACGCTTATGGAAGTGTCCCCAGTGCTGTGTTGTAGATTCTCAATAAACACAAATTTAATATAGCAAAAATATTTTCCTTGTTTCTTTTATATTGCTTTTCAGAAACTCTTGTAATTGGCAGTCATTTGAGAACCTCATAATAAAAATGAGAAAGAAACTCATCACTTTGTTAATGTTGTAATCCAATTAGGTCATCATTGATTGGTCAAGTGCTGAAAACAGCCTATAAAGGAGGGAAACGATTCCGTGTCATTGTTGTTGAAGGGCGGCCACGTAGTGAAGGTATGTAGTAGAACTAGGATTTAATCTGATGCTAGCTAGTACTGCACTTTAGCATGGAGGTTTAAGTATGATTGAAGAAGAAGAATTAGTTACCACTGAGATGTGTATGGTAGGTTAAAGTATTTGAAATAAATACCTTGAGAGCATGGGCCTTTTCTTACCCTTTATATATGGATTTTAGTTCTGGTTATAAATTGCTTAATCTTTTCCCGCAATTCTTGTATCATGTAGAAGAAGAAGAAAAATAAGAGGTATAAGAATAAAAGAAAGGAGTATAAGAGAAGGAGAACAAGAATAAAGGAAGGAGAACAAGAATAAGAGAAGGAGAACAAGAATGAGAGAAGGAGAACAAGAATAAGAGAAGGAGAACAAGAATAAGAGGAGGAGAAAGTTATCATACACTTATTCATCAAGCAGAAGATAGAGAAAGATGACAAGTTTTGTTTGCAAGTGCTTTCATCGACACACCTCCACCACCCTAATTGGTCAAGGGCTATGTTATGTTAAAGTTTAACACAAAGACATTACAACTAATGTACAGTTTGACTAAGAGAAGAGTGAATTGAAATATAATTTCCCTTTGAAACATTGTAACTAATATGTACGTAGTATAAAGTCGGGTATTGAAAGAGTTCCTATTTTGAGTTTTATTAATTTGCTGAAATATTTTTTAATTGCCCTGTAACACAGAAGATGTTATTTCTTTTCCCAGGGAAATCGATGCTGAGATGTTTGGTCAGATGTGGCATCCCATGTTCATATATTTATATTGGTTCAGCATCGCACGCAATGAATGAGGTTAGTGGTTTGGAAGGAACAAATTATTGTAAAACCATTATAAGAACGGCACAACCTTCTTCTTTTTCTGTCCTTTACTTCCTCAATGGACCATAGGCCCTCAGCCGACATTACAGTTTTTCCTGTTGGTTTGCTTAATCCATGTCCTCTCTATCTTTTCTTGTCACTCTGTAATTCCCTTCTCCATTTTATTTTGTTTCCTGCATTTTTTTCAAATGTTTGATTATCTGAGTTCCAGTGCACAAGGATGTGCTAGTTATATTGTTATCTTATACTGTTTATATATATATATATATGTGTGTGTGTGTGTGTGTGTGTGTGATATTCATAATATTATATGAACATAAAATGCTTTATTGATAAAATACAACTGCTGTGTGAAAGATGGGTTTTGGAAGTGCTGAATGTAAGACGGGCCTGGGTGCCTAATTTGTGACCCTCTGAAAATAATGTTCGTTCGTTATCAAGTTTTCTTAGTATGTGTGCATAGCATGTCTTTAGTGGTTCTCCGACCCTCACCATAAATCATATTTGAACACATTCTATCTTTCAATTTTCTTGTTCTTTTTCAGGCGACAAAAGTGTTCCTTGGGGCGGCAGCCATGTTTGCTATCGGAGACATGTACTCTCGATCTGGCAACTCCATGATTGCAGCCTTGGCTAAGGCCAACAACATCCCTGTCCTGGTTTGTTGTGAAACCTATAAGTTCACAGACAAAGTGCAGCTGCACACGGGAGACAGCAACCTGCATAGTAAGTATCAGATCCGCCATTTATCTGTTTATCTGAGATTAAGGAGGCGATTGTTAAGTAAGGGACCTTTTTTTTTTTTTAACCATTGTTCGTTCTGTTTTGTTGTTAATGTTGCAAAGCCTCGGTTGTAAATAAGGTCGGTGGTCTTTGTGAGGATTATTGCTTTTCCTTGATTCCTTTTTGTAGTAGATAGATTCTGCCACCAATGTATTAAAGAGAGAAGACCCAAAAATAAAATATCACAGGCATTTGAAAGAGGCAGTCATAATTTTTTGGACATATTAGAAATAAGAGCATGTTGTTTCCTGTTTGGATTCCAGGACCCAGTTTTGGTAAAAAAGTAAACCTCCCCCCCCCCCCCCCCCCCCACTATAGTTAAAGTTAGTTGTGTATCCTTTACAGGACGTTGCAGAACCAACCCCAGCATTTATTGGCTGTTGTGGTTTTTCTAGGCAAGTTTTACGTTCATTAGTTTGCCATTTCTTTCTGAACTGTCAGCTCTTTGTATCACTGTCAAAATCAGCGCAAGACAAATCGTCTGCAGCAGGGATCCAACTCAGCACCCTGGCATTACAAAGCGCGCTTGCAACGCCTAAGCCACAGAGCCAACATCCCCCCCCCCCCCCCCCCCACTAGCACGCCATAAATGTTTAATATTAGGCTTTTGGTGAAATCGGATGTGTTGACTGAAAGGTACATTTACCACTGCTTAGCTGTGAACCACAGTACAACATGCCAAGTACCTTTTTAAGTTTGAAAGCAGAATACGAAAGAGTGTTAGATGATGTTTATCTCAGTTGGATTAAGGAGGTGAAAACCCAAAGACAACTTATCAGAAACTGGCAGTCATCATTTTCTTGGCCATGTTATGAGATGTCAGAAACTGGCCAATATTGCGAGAACTGAAAAGAGAAAGACATTTTGAGAAGATTCTTGATAGCCTTTTGTCATGGCATGGAAATGTGTTTAAAATCTTCAGTTGTGGGGAGGCCTCATCATCTATACCAGTGTTTCCCAAACTTTTCTTAGTTTGCTGCCCCTTTCTTAAATTCTGTGAAAAAAGTTGCGGCTCACCGGGGTGCTGTGGCGCACAGTTTGGGAAATCACTGGCCTACACCACTTGGCAAGGAACTTGGTGCTGAAGATGAGATATCCATTTCCATCCTGATATCATTTACCTATGGTTAGATAACCTTTTTTTGTATATTGATAGATATAATGTTGATTTCTTTGGTTAATTTAATTGGTGTAGTGAATCATTTAGCTGTGGTTTTAGTATTGCCATAAATATATAGTTAATTAATTGGTGTTATGTCCAACTGGGTTCCAGGAGCAAAAAGAATACTTTGCTCCCTTCCCTAACAAGCAAATTGTAAAAGTATACTTTTTAGGGGCGTTTCCTTTGAAGTCAGAGTGCCTGTGACTTAGAGGCGAAGAGTCAACAGACTGCATACATAAATAAGTCAGATCTGTAAAACGGATAAGTAAGTAAAAAAAATAAAAGTAAAAGACTCTTTTCCATGCCTTTAGGAGTATAGGGCATATAGGGCTAGACCTAAATTTTATAGACCAAACAGCACAAGATGGGTGATGTAGTCATCATCACGCCGACCACCTTTACTTCCCGGGACTGCAACCGGTACCCACTCAAGGCTGAGTCGACCTGGGAGCCAAGGTCATTTTTTAAAAAGTCCGGCTCCGTTAGGGAGCAAACTCACGACCTTCCGATTTGTAAGCAAGCGTCTAGCCGCTCCGCCTCAGTGACTCCCCATGTTAAACAGATATGCGCTCAAAACTCTTCAGAAGTGGATGAACTAGAACTTTCAGCACGAGTTTACAGCTGTTGAATGTCACAAAGAAAAATTCACCTGCTAAATTGTTCTCCTGGATCGTTTATCAGTTTTTGTATGTTTTTAACCAGTCCTATAAATATGCCTAATCTTTTTTGACCTGCACCAATGTCTGTGACCCTCCACAGCTCGGGGCAAGGACTTAGTCTCTATTGGCCACAAGACCCCTATCTTGACCAACTGGGAAGACATTGGTTTAGGACTGCTAAACCTCATGTATGATGTCACAGGATCTGAGTACATCACGGCTGTAGTCACAGAGTTCGGCATGCTGCCCTGTACATCCGTGCCGGTAGTTTTACGACGACAAGAAGATCTCTCCTAGTCACCTACAGCTTTCACAGTGTTGTTTTCTCTGTTTAACTTGTAATCAGTTAACCACCATTCCCCTCTGAGGGCTTCCCGTGTGGTCCTTATTTTGTAGGGGTGAAAAAGAATAGATCCACCGCCCTCTAAAATACATGTCTTACAAAATGACTAATTACGGATGTTTCTTTCAGAGTCTGCATCTGCCTTAGGGTCTGCAGACAAATAACCAGATCTCTAAAAAAAAAGAAGACATTAAAAACTCTGGAAAAGTTAATAAAACACAGTGTTACTCCTCAGGCGAATATTCACTTCTTAATCAGTCAGTCAGGTGCCATCTCCACAGTGAAAGTTGGCTGCAGTGGAACGTTTGGGTTGTACACTCTCAGACTGTTGTTTATCCATCTCTTGATATTGTCCACCCCTTGCCTTCTTATTCTTCTGTGTGAGGGCAGTTGGCACATTGTGGTGTACAGCTGGGCTGCAGTGTGCGCTCCTTTGGGCCAGCATATGTGATTTCAGCAAATTTAGAATTAGTCACTTTTTCATGACATTCTTGTTAGGGGCATTATGTCTGCCCTCCCCAAATGGGCCCCAGAACCAACACAGAAAGTGATCTCCAACACTGGATTGTATGTTTTCTGAGACCGTTGTTAATCTATCTCTTGATATTATTCTCCCACTTTACCCTTTGTGATTTACTGGGCCCCATTGTGGGTGAAAACAAGAATAGACCCGCTGCCTCCCCAGCAAGATGTCGTTAGAGTCAACTAATTGGCGGCATCTGGAGTTGGAGTACATCTGCCTGGGAGGCAAGAATCAGGAGTACATCTGCCTGAGAGGCAAGAATCAGGAGTACATCTGCCTGGGAGGCAAGAATCAGGAGTACATCTGCCTGAGAGGCAAGAATCAGGAGTACATCTGCCTGGGAGGGAAGAATCAGGAGTACATCTGCCTGGGAGGGAAGAATCAGGAGTACATCTGCCTGGGAGGCAAGAATCAGGAGTACATCTGCCTGGGAGGCAAGAATCAGGAGTACATCTGTCTGAGAGGCCAGAATCAGGAGTACATCTGCCTGGGAGGCAAGAATCAGGAGTACATCTGCCTGGGAGGCAAGAATCAGGAGTACATCTGCCTGGGAGGCCAGAATCAGGAGTACATCTACCTGGGAGGCAAGAATCAGGAGTACATCTGCCTGGGAGGCAAGAATCAGGAGTACATCTGCCTGGGAGGCAAGAAATAAGACTCATACAAATTTACATACAAATAAGCCAGATCCTAAGGCGTTGCGAGTCCGACTCGTGAGCCAGCATACCGCGATCGAAACCCACTGCAGGCTGCGTGGATTTTTGTCGTGGTATGGGACGTCGCAGGTCGACCCAGCCTAAAATGGGTACCAGGATGGGCTGTCCTGGGAAAGTAAAGACAGCCGGCGTAATGCTGACCACATTACCCACCGAGTGCTGATGGTCTGTAAAAATATGGGACGCTCTGCCCATATGCCCGATGCGCCGAAAGGCGTGAAAAGGGATCTTTACTTTACTTTTACTTTACTAAGCCAGATCTGTGAAACAGATGTGCACACAACACTCAGGTATGGCTGGTGAATGGAAACAAGAAAAAGATTGCTCTACTTGTATCGTTGTCTACCTTTTGCTCGCTTGCTTTCAGTCCCCCTCGCCCACCCTCCCCCTGCACAAGAATGTTTAAAAAAAAAAATAGCATGTGGATGATGTAAATATCTCCCATTAAAAGATTGATAGATTTAAACAAATCATTAAATTCATGCATGTGGTGGATGTAAATACGCACCAACACATGATTGATAATTTAAAGCTAAAAATGATTACTGGTCATTTATTTATTTGCTGTTTTTTTTTCTTTCTCTATTTTATCTGTAATAAATACACTGTGCTTAAAAAAGGGATTTGGGTGCTATAAACATGACAGATAATTACACTGTCAAAGAAAATAAATGGATTTGGGCCTGTAAAATTAACAGCTTGATTAATTATGGTTGTGCTGAGAATTACAGAATTGAAAGTTCTGTAACAAAACAATCAAGAAAATAGAGTGACTGCTACTGAACTGGTGTAAATGAATGTGAAATATGACAGAGGAGCTCAAATACATAAATGGATACAAAATGAATGTTTCTGTCTTCATTTTTGCTTATAATCAGAAAAGGAAAATATTGAATGTTGAATTAAAATCGACATCACAGCACACAGTCCCTATCTTTAGCAGCAAGCAGAGTTCTAATTCCGATGGCACCAGTAACTGTCTGATTGTATCTCAGTCTCACTTTTCCCCTGAGTGTTGAGCGTCAGCCAGATCCCTAAGGTAACTCCTCGCAACGCCATTCTCCTTAGACCGTAATGATCTGTTTTGTGCCTTCACACTGTTCCCTCACTCCCAAAGGGCTCTTTACAACATCTAGCTTATTATACATCAATTCACCACCAAGTGGTGTAGAACCAGCCAGTCTTATCTGCCTGCTCGTTTCCCAACAACACTGGCATAATAGCCCTGCCTTAGGTGAACATTTCAATTGAAATTGCCATTAATTGGATGTTTGATTGATGGACATTTAATTCAAAAATTATAATTTCAAAGGAATTTTTCTTCCTTTTGTTTGTTACTCTCCAAGCTGCTACCTGAAAAACATCATCATGTAGACGATCCGTTGCAGAAAGTCTCTGTCATCATAGCACACTAGAAAACCATCCTGGGACACCTTCATGAACTTCCATACCTACAGTGTCTTTGATTTTCTGTGCGCACTCTCATTACAGCACACTAGAAAACCATCCTAGCACACCTTTGTGAACTTCCATACCTACAGTGTCTTTGATTTGCTGTGCCCATTCTCATCACAGCACATCATAAAACCATCCTAGCACACCTTTGTGAACTTGGGGGAAAGGGGTGGGGGGGCTGAGTGGTCTTGGGGTATGGCATCCGCCTCGAGTGTTGAAGGTCCCCGGTTCAGGCTGGGATTTTTTCATGTGGACTTTAGTAATTTTCTCTGGTCTCTGGGTGGTAAGATTGGACGCCTGTGTGTATTGTTGCGCACGTAAAAAAATCCCTTGGCAGTTGGAAATCAAAAAAGAGTAGCCTAACGGCACTGCCTGGGCAAAATGTGGAGTTTAAAATCTACCCAAAGTATTTAAGGATCCTCGCTGGTATAATGGAGTTTGTGCGCTGCGCTGAGATTCTTCAGACTCGGGCTTGAGTTAGAATTAGAACGGAGCACTTATGGGTTACACCCGAGTGCCATGATGTTGATCCATTGAATAAATCTAAACAAACATACATAAACCTTTGTGAACTTCCATACCCACAGTGTCCTTGATTTGCTGTGTCCATGTTGTAAACACTCCCTCCCTCTTCCTCCAAAAACCAGTCTTAAGTACTGTTTCCTCCAAACCGTAAAGGCGTTTAAAATGGCTGAAGTCTTTCAGTTGACGAACCAGTCCCCCACAATGTTCACATCATTCAGGAGATCACTAACTTAAAACATATCACACTCAATCAACATTTGATTCAAAAGTTTCTTTAATTATAATAATGATAGTACAAATACTGTTCTGTAAAATATTATAGATAAATTGTATTAATTCTCATTATGCTGATTACACACATAACGCTCAAGCAGAAAATTGAACTACTTCATTGTTTTCCTTTAGTCCTTTCCTGAATCTAACAAATTAAAACTCACTTGTGTGAATACAAGCTAATAAAAGCTGCTCGTCTCACTAGAAAAACAAAATGAGAAATGACATTACAGAAACCACTACATCATGGGTTTCAAACCCATGGGTCACGACCCAAAATGGGGTTGCCAGGCGGTGGTGAGCTATGACAATTTTTTTAAGGCACAAAGAAATCATACTGAAAAATACATTTTTTATGTTTACTATTATTATAAGTCCCTCCCCGTGTGGGTTCCAGGGCCCTACTATGGAAAAAACAAGAATAGACCCACTGCCTACCCAAAAGCATGTCGTAATTGGGAGCTTCCTTCAAAGTCGGAGTGCATCTGCCTGAGAGGCAACGAACCAACAGCTGCATACAGAGCTGTCAAACAGATGCACATGCAACACTCAGGTTCTGGAACAGAACTGCAGTCCAAAAGTGGACAAACAACCAGAACTTTCCGCTGGAGTTTACAGCCGGTGAACGAGAAGAAGAAGAAGATTATAAGCCTATTTTAAACCTATTTGGTTACTGGTCACTTCACCTCTATAAAATGGGGTCGCAACTCGGAAAAGGCTGCAAACCGCTTTGAATTTTGGAGGGATGTACAAGTGAATCACCATCTGCAGTGGTGCCTTGATACCGAGCTCGTACTGGTTAAGACTTATCTATACTTCTACTTGGTTATCCTAGAAGAAAAAAGGTTCCCTAATAGACTTGGCCAACAACATGATAAGTTTCCCTCGAAGTTGCAAGTGCATATGCCTGCGAGGAACCACCAGTCTGCACAAAATAAGTCAAGACCTGTAAAATAAATCTGCATTAAAATAATTACAACTAAATCAAAGTAAATAACCACACCCACGTGTACCACCTTTAGGGTATTCTCATGATCCTGCTTGTGCGCTAACATAAACTCTGAGTCACATTATGAGATTTATAAGAATGAAAGAAAGCCTGTATAAATGATCGTGGAATTCAACAATGAAGGATAGATAATAAAATATATATAAACCATTGTATCCTGAGTTTCTCTGTTTAGACACATATTATAGTATTCAAACAGTAAGTAAAATAAACATAAACGACCCTTTTCACTCTATTGGTGCATCCAGCATGTGGTGCTATGTCTGAATTTTTTAAAGACCAATCAGTACTCAATGGGTCAAAATCACAAGTCAGTTTCGGTGGAAGATGTAACTTTTGTTGATAAGCTCTGTCAAAAGCACTTTTAAGACTGATATTCATTTCTGTAAGGCTGTTCTTAATGCCATCACTCCATCTTTTCCTAAGTATTCTGTTGGTAATACCCATTGTAAT